CCCATGGGGTCACAGCCTCCTTCAGGTGCATCCACCTGCTCTGGCATGTGGTCCTCCATGTGCTGCAGGTGGATATCTGCTCCACCATTAACCTCCATGGGCTGCAGGGGGACAGCCTGCCTCACCATGGTCTTCACCACAGACTGCAGGGGAATCTCTGCTCTGGTGCCTGCAGCACCTCCTCCTGCTCCTTGGTGTCTGCATAGTTCTCTCATGTATTCTTACTCCTCTCTTCTCTGTCTGCTCTTGCGTAGGGTTTTTTTTCCCCTTCTTAAATATGTTATCACAGAGGCACTACCACCATTGCTGATTGGTTCAGCCTTGGCCAACGGTGAGTCCATCTTGGAGGTGGCTGGCATTGTCTCTGTCGGACACAGGGGAAGCTTCTAGCAGCTTCCCCCATTACCAAAACCTTGCCACGCAAACCCGATACACCCTGCTTTGAACAGGAGATTGGACTAGAGACCTCCTGATGTCTCTTCCCACCTGAATTGTTCTATGATCCCATGAAAGGTAGTAGAAAAACATGAAAAACAATTTATATCAAAATAATCTGAGTGGCTAGTTAAAATAAAAATAGCAATAAAGCCCTAATAAAGTTCTAGTGGTTTCAAAAGGAAATTAAGATCTTGTGTCAAGGCCAAAAGCTTTTCACAGGGTGTAAAAATTTTTTATAACATAACAGCATGAACAAGCCAGTTTAAGATAGATCACAAGCTTAAAGGCAAACTACAGATCTTAGTTTTTCAAATCAGTGACAGGAAGATGCACTTCTGTGAACAGGAATAATGCATAAGCTCTCTGTGCATTGAGCCCATTAGATGGGTTTACAGAATTGAAGTTGGGCATTAGCCTTCCCCTGTTTAGCTTAGGGATGCATTTTGTCCAAAGGGAATGTAACTGAAATTCAGCTCTCAGGTTAACAACCCTAAAAATCTGAGGTGGCTGAAGAAGTTTATGTATTGACTTAGGGTCTTAGGCTGAAGAACAGATGCCATTTACATAGGCTAAATAACTCCATTATTATGGCAGAATATTTTGTAGTTGTAGAGTCTAATTAAAAATTACTATTAGCCATTTTGCGATTGCTGTGTCTAGACTGTATTTAAACTTTTCATTCCTTTGAATAAAATAGGTGAGATAAAAGTTTTTCAGAAAAGGATCATCAAAAGAAAATTCAGTCAGTGTTTATTTTTCCTTTCCCCAACGTTATTAGTAGAAGCTATTAAATGCTTTCAAAGTTCAATTTCCCCAAAAATTAATGTGGCAGCTTCTCTGGGTTGTATTTTATAGAGTTAATTTTCACATACAAAATATCAATATCTGCAAATACCAGCTTACTGTACATGCTATGGCCCATGCACTACTCAACATTTATGTGCAGATTTCTAACTGAAGTTATTTGTAGCTGCATGCATAGATTGAATTCAGTATAATTTTAAAATTTGTCTTCTTAGAGATTATGTGCCAAATTTCAGCCCTATGCAACTGAAAAAAATGTCCTCCCTTTTTTCTTTAAATTTTACTTTATGTAAAATAGTCAGTCAACAAGCTGCTTGGAAGTAAAATGTGAATGAAGAAGCAAAGGAGGAGGATTTTAGCATGCCTTAGGGACTTCTATAGCAGAAATAAATCATGTATACCTTGAGTCATTTGTTGGTGAGTGAACATCCTACAACTGCACATGGCAGCAAGACAGGGAAAACTACAAGGCTGTGAAGAGAGCATGTGCAGTCCTCATAGGGCACAAAAAGAATGGAAGGTCTAGCAATCCCTGCTCACAGAGTTCTGCAGTAATGTAGACCATGTTGAGAGTGCATATACTAGTATGAAAGGAAAAAATATCATTACCCTTTAAGATGGAGGGTGAAGATGGAAAATCAAGTACTACTGAGAATGTACTGTTAAAAGTCATCTTCAAATATCTGGTGCACTTTGAGAAGGCAGGGTAGGAATAACTGTCAGTCGTTCAGTTGACTTTGAAAAGTGTCTTGTAGAGTATGATAAATTCTGTTTCTTCCTCCCTTTTGTCCTGGACATTCTCTTCCTTGCTAGAGAACTTCTCTTTGAAAAACTGTCAAGATGGATGCAGAATGTGAGTGCCATTCTCCAGTTTATCATGCCATGTCTTTGAATGGTGGAGTGAATGCAGGATTGTGATTTCCTCACAATTGACATAATTAAAGTAAGAATTTATTGTGAGGAATATTTTTCTCCAGTCTCTGACATCTACTGTTGTCATTATTGTCTGCAGTGTGCTCCTTCATCACATGGTATGGCTACTGTTTGTGTTGCTGTACAACTCTGATTTTGCTTGGGACCATGCCTTGTGTCGGAATGTCTTTGTTGGACTGACTTGTTTCTAATTGCTATTGTAACCTTTAGTTGGTGCAGAACTTTTCTCTGTAGCAACTAGCTTATCCTCACCAGTCCTTGGATGCTGTCATAAAAAGGCCTTCATCTCAAGTTCTCTAAGGTTGAGAATAAGTTCTATTTAGGATTATGCTTTCAGACAGATAAAACTTTTTTTTCCTTTAAAAAATATAATCATACATACATTCATTCTAAAAAATGGAATCATACATCATTGCCAAGTGAGACAAATATTCTTTGTTATGGAACTTATCAGAAAGTCATTTTAGGATGTACTCATTTGTAAATGCTGATAAATGTAGATTGATAAAATCCTAATTTTACACCATTCCTCTCCAATTCATCCTGAGAAATTAACTAAAGAGAATTCTCTTTAGGAGACCCTGATGCTGCACTTTTGGAAACTTGGCCCCTTATTTCTCTTACTTTCAAGTAATGCCATTTCAGAATGAAACAATTGCCAAGAGAATTGAATATTTTGGAGATAACATATCTAATTAGCAACAGTGGTTACATGTGACAGTATTACATCTTTATGTCAGTCATTCTAGTAGCTTTTTGTTTCCTCAGTCAGTAAAGACTCTGGATATTATTTTTGTTGAGATGCTTAATTTTTGTTCTTATGGTAATATAGCAGTTCAAGAATATTGAAACAGAGTTACTAAAGCTCTGAAGAAAATCTTGAGATATCAAGATATGGACCTGTATTTTGGATCTGTGCCTCCCAGGTTGGGATATCTGATTCTGTCATATGAGACATGCATTATTTCTTGTTCGGTTATTTTTCTAATTTCATCTGCAGCTTCCCTAAAGCTTTGCTCCACTGGAGATAGATAGTTACAACCTATATTGACTGTATACTGTTTTGCTTTCATCTAATGACCAAGGGTTGGAGTTCCTATAGTATTTGTTAAAATAAATGATTTGTTGTTCATTAAGGCTCTGTTAATGTTTTAAGACCAAAATTCACAACTGCCAATAGCCTTCCAAAAGATCTATTTTCTCCATCTTTGGGCAGCTGCCTCTTCTGACAGTCTTTAGTGAGCTGCCTTCAGACTCTTAGGGTAAGAACTGCTAATTTCCTCTCAAACTAATAACTTGAGTTATGTTTCTCAAACTTCTACATGTTAACCTATAACTTTTAATCCAAATTAGTTTTAGTTTCTTACTTTACTGTTTTCTTTCTGCATCAGCTGGAATATCATCAATAATATGCAATCCATAAAAACTCAGCTGCTGTGGAATAAAGCCTTGCTGGTCTGATTAATACCTATTAGTTCTGAATACCAATGAAAATGAAGCGTATGTCATGTTTTTGACCAGTAAACGCTTACCAAATTAAATGCACAGTGCCAACAGTTTCACATTGTAACACAGAAGTAGTTTACTAGAGCAGATCTAATGATGCGATAAATGCTCATAACAACAATAGACTATAGTAGAACTTTGTGGTGAGACAACAGAAAGAAAAAGGAGCATTGAAGTGCTGTAACATTGTGTGGGATTTTCAGTGTTACACAGTATACACAACACCAACTGAGCAAAATAGAATATATAAATGTATGAATTTATACGATTTTATTGGGAATAAAATCTCTGGATCTTGGTTTAGAACAGGCATTCTGAAAATGGTGTTACTTACAGCCATGTTACTTGGATAACAGTATTTCATGGTAGCTATACTGTTTCTGTCATTACATACCTATATTTACATGTAGTTTACAAGGAATTCTTAGTTTACAGCTTGACGAGTCTTGTACTGTACAACTTCTTGCTCTGAACTTCCCTCTTTTGTAAATGCCCATGCACATGTACATGCACACACACACACACACATACACATACACATACACACACACACATCAAGAGCTGTTGACAAGAGATTAAAAGGTAGATGCTGTAGATTTCTTGTCACTATGATTTCCATAAAGTTTTGAATAAAATATAGTATAGACCATTTACTAATCTCCTATGAATTATTGCCATAATAACTAAAACTAAATGTAAATTGACAATACATTCTATTTTATGATTTCATTTTAAATGGTGCAATTGATTAATAGTCAGTTATCTACAAGTTTCATGGTGATTTCCTCAAACTAGTAAGGAGAGTTTTACTTTGTAAGAACTTACTCCCTGTAGCAACCTTTCAGGTTCCCATTTTAAAATGTTCTTCATTTTGTACCAATATTTTTACGCTAAAATAAGCAAAACTGCTCTTGAACAAGCATATTCACATCTGTTCCACAAATATATTACCTTCTAAAGAGCACAGTGAAGGAGTGACAAAGAGAAGACATACATCAATATGTACATTTTCAAAATTTTTAAAAGATGTGATAATGGCTGTTCATGTTTTCTGCAAGATGGAATATTTTTCTTTGCTTCTATCTCTGTAATAGCACTTTTAATTTTCTCTAAATGCTGCTATGTCAGTTTAGCAAATAGGAAGTAGAATAAATCTGTTTCCTTACTTATAGTGAGAAGAGAGTTTTAAATTTCAGGCTACCTAGTACAAGAACAAACCTCCTCCATGTAAAGTTTGTGTTTTGCCTAATCTGATTGTCTGCTTCAACCTGTTTCTTCTGACTTATGGCCTGTTTCTCTTTTTGTATTTCTGTTAACAGAAAGCTGACCTTGCAGTTGCACCATTGGCAATTACCTATGTTCGAGAGAAGGTCATCGACTTTTCCAAGCCCTTTATGACTCTTGGAATAAGTATTTTGTACCGCAAGCCCAATGGTACAAACCCGGGCGTCTTCTCCTTCCTGAATCCTCTCTCCCCTGATATCTGGATGTATATTCTGCTGGCTTACTTGGGTGTCAGTTGTGTGCTCTTTGTCATAGCCAGGTAACATGTCAACTTTTGTGATTTTTTTGGCAATTGTTATCATCTTTTTCTTACTAATAATTGTCAAAAGTCACAAAAATTTTCTTACTTTCATACTCTTATATTTTAACTTCATGATGTACAGAAGAATAATTAATGATGAGGGTTCTCACTATTAATTTTCTCCACTGCCATGCTAAGTCTCCAGTTTGTTATGTCACTAAGTCTTGAGTATGCTAGCTAGCTTTCTCCTTTTATTTGCAAATTTAGAGACACTAGAAAGCTTATGGAAGTTTTTAGTTAAGTCTTTTCCCAGTTGTGCTGTGTTTAGAAAGACAGGGGTTGACATATTTTATTTTGTTAGCCTGACTTCATTTAATGCTATGGTGCTTAATCTCAAATTGAGTACTTAGCTGCCCATGTTAATCCTAGATGTCCAAATTGGGCCTCTACCTGTTACAAAACAAGCTACTTTATGTAGATTAGCATCTTAGAACTAAGGTAACAATATTTAGTTTTTAATCATGTACTAGGTAAGATCCCTGAGATACCTCACATAATTTAAAGTCCCAGATTGGAATGTGTTTGGAAGCATGTTTAGTTGAGCTTTCAGAGTTAAAGACCTCAATACAACAACTGTTAAATTATAAATTAGTTTGATATATAGGGCTCACTTTTTCATCTGTTTTCTTCAACATAGACAAGCAGGAAAGCATATTTTGTCAAAAGTTCCTATTATAAGTTTCATTTTCTTTGTTAACTAATTAGGACTGACTCCAGATGCTCACAGGAATATAGTCTGACATGTTATAACTTTGACTTTTGCTGTGACAGCAAAAAAAAATTCAGAACAGTAAATCAATGATTCTCAAAGGGGTGGAGATGTAGTCTCTTTTGCAGATTCCTCTTAGTAGACACTTTTACATATTTTTTTAATCAAATACATATAAACTATATTGGCTTTTACCCCTTTAATAAGATTTTTTTTTTATCTGTAGCAATGATTTTTAGAAGGATATGTTTGACTTGATAATGCAATCTTCCAAGATTTTTATGATTTCATTCTGTGGTACGCAGTGGAATCTTCATATTTTTCTTTTTCTATTGTGCTGTAGTTGATATCAGAGTTCTCCATCTTTCTTTGATATTATCCGCTTCATTTTGGAGAAGTTGTATCATTTCTCTACTAAGGGGAGAGGAAGTATCTTTAGAAACCACTTTAAAAGTAATTTAGCAAGATCACTTGTACATAAAGTACATGAGGTATTGAAGTAATATAGATAACACTGAAACTTACTCTGTAATGAATAACTTCACTTGTGTGCCTTCTTTAGAAGTCTGCTTTAAAGAGCCAGACTTATGTTGAAAGTTTCTTGAAAGAACAGTAGATTTTAGTGGACTATATAACTAGAGAGTAAACTCATTTCTGAGGTGTTCCTGTGATAAAGGTACTTCTGAAAGCACAGTTGAGCATAAATCACAAGTGTTATCTTGTGAAACACCTCACGTAAAATATTTATATATATGTCCAAAAGTTTTAACCCTATTGTTATCACTGAAGGACATTTTCAGCATGAGGCATAGTGCTTTTGACAGGCAGCTCCCAGTAATGTTAGTAGGAGTTGTATGGCTGAGTTCTTAATTATGCTTTGAAAATGTGTCTTGTCATATTTTGTAGGAAAGATACATTTTCTTTAAGCCTTTTTTTTATTAAGCTATTCAGTCACTTGATCTCACTAGCAGAACTGGAAAGAATGTTTGTTTTTAAATGGAAGCACCACATAGTAGACCAGTATTGCTGAATTTTTTTTTCACTTGTCTGTTTTTGTGACCAGCACCATAAATTCCTTATTATCTTCATTATAAAGCAGTATGAAATAGGTTTTATACTGAGCAGAGGAGTTTGTTTTTTGTAGAGTTGTATAAAATACCTTTTTTATGCCTAAGTTTGTATCAGCCTTCAGATCTAGAGATTTTCAGTTCCTCTTAACTTGTACAATCAAATATTAATAACACATTTAGAAACAAAAGATCTAGGATTATGTAAGACAATCTACAGATTTTATTCATAATGCAGAATGACTTCATGGTATGTGATAGCATTTTCTAACACTATAGTTCATACAGGGAAACAGGTCTAAGTTAAAAATGTAATCTGCTGAATAATAAAGAGAGAAAATAACATAATTCAAAAGTAAAAGACTTTTGCAAATATAATTCACAAAATGTATCTGTCATGTAAAGGGAGATACTGCTAACTGAAGTGTGGTAGTCAAGAGGACTTCGCAGCATGGTGTTGACTATGTATTTTCAGTACAGATTATAAGTTAGGTATTGCACAACTGATGATGTATTTTTCAGTCCTGGTGTTATGAAACTGTTGGACTGTATGCCACTAAATTAATAGGTTCCACCTAGAGTGTTTTATTAAGAAGATTTCTATTTCATAACAATCCTTCCATAATGAATGTTTAACTACCAGTGTTTCATAATAATTACTATGTGTTTCATAATAAGATGTATCTATGTTTGGAGCAGTACTTAGTATGTCTTTTAGGATATGATGTTTTGTAATTACAGCTCATCAGTATTCAGTGTAGAATATTTATTTTTAGATTTAAACCTCTCATTTTTGTGTCAAATGTTTCGTGATTTTATTGTTTTACCATGTCTTCCAGACAGTGTTGGAATGTAAGAGCTTGGTACATTGAAAATGGAAAGTACAGTTCTGTCGTGGTTCTTGGATTTCACCCATTAATTAGTGGTATGGTCCTATTTAG